TAATAGCTATGGGGAAAAGATTTAAGAATTAAATCTAAAAAATGAAATGATGGAAAAACTAGAAATGGAGAAAGATTTGAAATATAAAAATTGATGACTTATACTATGAACTTCAATCAATCTCATATTCCTGGATTTAGTAATTCCACTTCTAGGAAAACATTCTCAGAAAACTCAAAAATAAGATAAAGCTTTTTGAATAAGAATTTTTCTTTTAGCTTCATTCATAATTCAAAAAATATGCAATAGGGAAATATAAAAATATATTCAGCAGTCATATTATGATATAGTACCCTGTCTTCAAAAAGAGAAATCTAAGTGCATTGACAAAACATTTTTACTAAAAGTATTTTCTGGAAAAACAAAAACCTTCTCACTGTGTTACTTATGACAAGTGAAAAAGCAAGTGTTCAAGATTGCTTAAATATAACATGTTTGTATAGAAAATTTAGGAAATACAAAACAGAAAGAAAATATAAACTATGCATAATTACCCAAGGCCAATCACTGTTACTATTTTGCTGAATATCTTTTTAGACTTTTCTTGATGTATATACATATTTAAGTATAACTTTAAATAAAAATAGTAATGGTGCCTTATATCATTTTTTATTAGGGTAACATTGCTTTACAACAGAAATGATTAAGAAATATAGGAACTGTCCTTATGCTATCACACCACACCCACAACTAAGGCACCCACAGACCTCCACTACACTCCATTTTCCCTTCCACCCCCTCCTAACCATTCTCCCCCACCCTCTCTAGTAGCCTCAATTCTACAGTCAGATTTCTATGGTATGTTATTGGTTTGGTTCTGAGGCGAGACAATTGAATAAGAAAGTTACTTTGGTTTTTAGTTTACAAATATTATTTTCAAAAATTTTAAAGAAATAAATGTGTGTAGTTAAAAAGTCAAATAGGCCAGAAGGATTTCTAAAGAAACACCACTGTCCACCAGGGAGAAACATGCTTATGGCCTAATTTAGGGTAAAATAATAAAATCCAATTATTTCCTTTGGAATCCCTAATGTTAGAAACCCTAATGTTAATTCTTAGCAGATCATTTCTTTGAGGTACCATCTCCCACTGCTACCTCTTGAATCTTCATATGATTAAAAAAAAGGACTCTCTTTACTGGAAGACTAAATGCCTGTCTCCTGAGCATGTGCTCCTGGAATGAAGGCTGGCTTGATCTGTTCGTCTACAGACTTTAGTTGTCCTGTGTCCTGTATTTAGCTTCAAGACTCACCCTGAGTGAGTACCAAGAACGCCAAATTCAGGCTTTCCTGTTGTTCTTGACATCAGGACAGATCATCTCTCTTCTCAGATATTCAGTCACCTCTACCTGCTCTTGACCTCAAGTTCTTCATGTGGATCATCCAAAATGCCTGTGTCTGCTTTCCATATTTCTAAAAAATTATTGAAATTATCAATCTACTGATGGTTTCTCTTTGCTATGAATTTAAACCCATTATTATTAAATACATAGAAGAAAGCATGGGCAATGTGCTCTAGAATATTGACTTTGGACATGCAATAGCAAGGGAAACAAACCTTCCAATCTCCTCTACCTCACCCCAAACCTCTTCCCTCTCTGGAAGTGAAGCAGTGAAGATGTCTCACAACCCCATTTTGTGCAAAATAAAAAAAATTAGGTGAACGTTTTAATTCTTTTGACATACCAGGCAATAACTTATAAGGGATGGTCTGTAGCTCCATGGTATTTAGATGCCAATGTTATTGGCCATTTGGTCAAATTTAGCCTTCATATGATACCATTAGCCATATGGCAGAGTATTATTAAATTCATTTCCTCAGCAAGCATTTATTGAATATCTATTATGTACCAGACCCTATAAGCATGAAGATAGTAAACACAGCCTGTGTGGCTTCCACATCGGGTTTTCTAAAGGAAAGAGGGGTTATTACTAGAAAACTCCCTGGGAATGCATTGAATTTAGAGATATTACCAAATAAAACATTTTATTACAAATATTTGATCTAAACATTGAGAAAAGGCTTTATCTTGAAAATTCAGGAATTTTTTGCATGATAGGACTATGAAAAAAGCAATTTAATGCTGAGATTCAATACTAGCACTCTTAATTTTTATATTCTTATGCTATATTTTTGTAGTTGGGTTGTCTTGGCTAAATAGTAGAGTAGATCTTAAGATAATGTAAATTCATCATGTGATGGTAGATCGAAGAGAAAATGTTAATTCTTAGCAGGAACATGGGTATAGATTAGACCATTTCAATGTTTGTGCTTAATGAACTGTATCGATGAGTTTCTCATCTATTTCCTAGTGTGTACTAATGGTTCTTAAGTAATGAGACCTTTCCTGTCTTCAGTAAACTTTTTATGGTCTGCCTATTAAATGTTAAGCACTTGGGGTCCATCAGTAAACAAAATAAAGGACCTTGCTTTCGGGGGGCTTAATTCTAGTATATTGAAAGCCAAAGGATTCCCAATCTTTGAGGATTTTCAGTGTTGGAAACAGCACCTAATACTTAAAGGAAAAATAAGAATTAGGGGGAAAAGTGAGGGATATGATAGGAAGCTCATTTTTTCAGACTTCCCACAGAAGGTTTTGATTTCTGAAGATATCAATTACAACTCCCCTAGAAAGCAATCTGTTTAAATTATGAAGTGCTGGAAAATAAAGATAGGAAATACTCTCCAAGGAGACTGGGGATCTAAGAGTGTCTGGGAGGAGCCTGGGAATTTGGGCATTCAAGTTTCCCAGAGAGGAGGAGCCGGAACCTGCAGAGAAGGCCATTCTGGGAGGGAGACTCACTTCATCCCCAGCCAGGCCCACAGGAAGCCTGGGGCTGGGCGGGGCTGGCTAGCACTGAAGGAAAATTCCAGGGCCCAGAGGCAGGGCCCTGGGGACACCACAGTATCTTCAGCCTGAAATTCATCAAACAAACAATAACAAAAACCTCAGAAAACAATAATAAAAATCATCCATAAAGTGGGAGAATCAGAAATGAAATAAAATGACACGGATGTAGTTTAGTTTGTTAAAAAGAACAACAACAAAATGATTCTAGCCTTCGGGACTTATTAATAAAGGAGACTGCAGAAAGAGAAAAGATTTTGCAGAAGAAACAGGAAGGGCGAGATGCACCCAAGGGGACCACGGTAGGGGTTGGACCCCAAGTTTGGGGGGGTGCGGAGGTTGTAGAGGACAGCCTGGGAATGGCGGGTCGCCAGGAAGTTGAGCAAAGAGAGAAGGCGCTGAGACAAGTCTGGGAAGCTTGACTTAGTGTGTGGTTAGGGCCCAGCACAAACCTTCCAGTCCAAAGAGCCAGGAGGTTTAGAAGCTCGCGGATCCCTGACAGCTACGACCATCTGGTCTGTGCGGCTTTGGCAGCTACCTCCCTGTGGCCCAAACCATGGCTCATGGCCACCAAAGACTGCCAATGCTGTAGGCTAGCTTTCCTGTTCTTTTAGGACCTTCCGAGTTTGACCAGATGAGTAAATAGATATGAGTATTCTATATCCAGCTTTGCCCTGCTTTGAAAAGCAGAAGCTTCCTATTTGGTGCAATTTGGTAGGTTATTTTTTGGGTCTGGGAATGCTCAAAAATTTTCCATATAAATTTATGGTAGTAGCCTTCTTAGAGCCAAAAAATAAGTTCCTGAATCATGCCAAACAGGAACATTCTGCATGGAGATTTAAACATTCTCATGGAGATCTAAAACATGGCTTGTCTGATATGTTCTAAACATGACTTTTATTATTTATGGCATAGCATGAGCTGTAGGTGCAACACACACGTATATGCGGTGAGAAAAGCCTTTGAGCTAGAAAGGTGATCACCATGAGGAGCCACAAGTTGGGACTATTCTAAAGACAGTGCTCTGGGCCAATCTTGCAGGAAGGATCGATGACAAGTCAGGCATCGTGAATCAGGTGTTAACCCTCTGGCTGACTGTGAGCAGGATGCGGATCACAGGTACATCTTGTTGGGCCTGCACATATTTAAAAAAAATAATTTGATCCTTTTCAATATTTGAAAACTAGGAGGATTGATATAAAAGTATTGGTTTTCTTAGATTCTGACTTCCTAGCTGTGTGACCATCTGAAAATAGCTCAAATTCTCTTGCCTCGGTTTCCCCTTTTATAATCTGTGGATGTTGATCAGATACACCTCATGGATTTTTGGAGGGTTATTTGAGTTAATACACACAAAGAAGACAGAATGGGGTCTGGCCCATTGCAAGCACTTGGTAAAAAACTGTTGTTACTTTCTGCGCTGAACTCACTATCAAATGATCAGAGTAATTGGTCACTAATTTAAAAACTTTCAAAGGTGTGGCAGGTAACATCCATGCGTGAAATCAGTAGAGGTCAAGTCAGTCACTGATGAGGTTGGTAGAAACCAGAGTGAGTGTGACCAGCTGGTGTGAACCAGAATGAGCGTGACCAGCCCAAATGGCAGCTTCTGTTCAGATTTACCTCCTTCTTGCCAACAGTGCCAGAGCTTCCAATTTGTCAGGAGAAGTTGGGTATCAAGATATTTATATGAATCCTCCAAGTTTTCAAATACTGGAAATGATAAAACTTAAAAAAAAAAAAGTGTACCCATGGGCCTCCCTGGTGGCACAAGGGGTTAAGTTTCAGCACTATGAAGCAATTCGCAGCCACTGGGCCTGAGTTCGATCCCCATCCAGGGAGGTACCCACATGGCGCGGCAGACCTCTCCTTGTCTCGCCCGCTGCTTTGCTCTGCCCACCGGCCAGAAGTCTGGCAGGGCCATTGAACGTGGTTGACAGACCCCGTTTAGACAAAGCTCTGTGGGGCAGAACCAAGCAAGCCTCACCACCATGGAAGGGTGTCCTTATTAGTTAAGGTCCAATCCTTGCTCTCTGCAAATAATGTCTCCTTGTCCTCTCTGGTGAAGGAGCAGAACAGTGGACACACACGGCCCCATTCTGCCCCCAGCTGTAAAGATTAAGCCTGGATAAGTGCAGCTGTTGTTTCTTACCTCTTTCAACAGGGTGGATGCTCACCAGGCCACTTCTTCAACGCTCCTCCTGGTACACAGAGCCCATCTCTGCACATGTCTGTGAGGCTACAGCTCTGCCTCAGGTCTTGTCTGTTGGCTGCAAAGAAGAAACAGAAACCTGTCTGGCCTGGAAGGACTTGCACATCAAGGCCCTGAAAAGTAGATAGGGTTCAGATGTTTGAGGACTGGTTCAGCCCCACCAGCCTGAAAACTCAGTAACTGGGGTTTAGATTTGGTTTGGACAAATTCCCTTATGTGCTTTACTGAAGCCTCTGCTCCAGCACTTACCTGTGGGACTGACTCTCAGCTTTTGAGATTTTGCAGGTAGGTGGCACAGCATAGGAAACTGATGTCTAAAATAGGAGGAGCCCTCTTGTATGGTAAGTGCATATAATAAAAGGCATATTCTGAGTTTGAGGATTTGGTATCTGAGTTGTTCCTTGGCTGGGGGCCGGCTTTTGTTTTAAGTCGTGAGTTTATTCAAGTTACGACTGCAGCTTGCTGTAGAAATGAATTGACATTAAAACCATAGATTATGAGCCAATAAATTCTCTTTCTGATTAAGCCAAAAAAAAAAAAAAAAAACCCACAAAGCTTCTTGCGCCTCCCTGGTGGTACAGGGGTTAAGTCTTAGCGCTATCAAGCTATCACCAGTCAATGCGGCCTGAGTTCAATCCCCCGCCAGGGAGGTGACCCTCATGGTGCAGCAGACTTCTCCTATCTTGCCCGCTGCTCCCCTCAGCGGTGTATTCTAGTCAATCTGCCTGTTCTGTTCCCCACTCTGTCTCTGGTGAATCCTCTCACCCTCCGCACCTCTGGTCTACACCCCAGTTCTTGTATGCATAAATAAATAAAAATGAATCTTAGAAAAAAAAAAAAACCAGATTCACGTAACAAGTTCAAGCCTGGCCAGTAACCTCAACCTCACTTCCCACTTTCGAATCTGTTCTTGGAACTGTTTATATTTGTTAGTTCACAGGATTCCAGGTGCCTGGTCTTGCAGCCGCCATCTGCAAAGTGTGTGTTGGGAGTTCAGCCTGTGGTTTCTGTCATTGCCAGGGGCCCAGTAAGCTGACCACAACAGCTACAACCTTCGCTCTTTGTCATAACAGGAAGAAACCATGAAGAAATTCAACCGTGAGGAAGCGTGGTGTGACGCTTCTTCAGGGTTAACTTCAGTCATGAAAGAGCTCCTATTAGGGACAGTTCATGAAGAATTCACCAGGGAGAGAAGGAAGAGGTTTGCTTGTTCCGGGAAACAAGATGGCCAAACACTTGGAAGACAGAAGGTGCTCAATTTGGAGTGAACTAAGTTGTGATTTTTCAGGGAAGAATGTTCCATTTATCCCTCTCCCCTCCTCTCTTCCTCTTTTCCACCCACCTTCCCTCCCATTATCACAACAGCTTGAGTGCATACGTGTCTGTTGATATCCTAGACATCATGGTGGACTCATTGGAATTCATTCCCGAAGAATTTAAGTCTACTTAGACAGTGAGATAGAAGCTTCAGTTTAAGGACTCAATAATAGAAAAAGAAATTATGATTCTTGGCTTTCCCAGAACAGCCCTCTTTGGGGTTTTTCAACTATCAGAGGGTTTTCAAAGTTATCTTAGTCATCCCTCTCCACCCCACTACCTCTTCCTCATCTTTCCTGACTTCCATTGCCATTTCTGCCATCACTTAGCGCTTTTTAACATAGTTAATGGCTCACTTCGCTGGCTGTAGTCATTGATTATTGCCTCTTTACTCAGAAAAAGTTAAGCTCCCCAGCACAGAGAGATTTGCCTGTTTTCTTCACTGACATATTCCAACTCTAGAAGTTGGCCTGGCACTGTCCCAAGACTAGAACAGGGCCTGAGAAAAGACCAGGTGTATGTTGTATGAATGAAATGGAAAAATCATGGGTGAAGACAATTCTAAAATCTATTTTACTTCCTGTCTTCTTAACTAAAATATTCTGGATAGAATGCAAACATTTTGGGGGATGTCATATTGGATCACTCTTATTTTGCTGAGCTTTTATATTGTCTTCAGGGCTATAGGAGGCTGGGACTATTTTATCCTACTTCAGGCTAGAAGGCCCTGGCTAGGTGTAATATTTTGATGGCAGCTGATCAGAGGTCCTAGGAGCATTTTTTCCTGTTTTGAATTCTTGGTCTGCTGAGGACTAGGGAAATCCAGAGCAGGCATGGAAATAAGACTAAGCAAGATTTAACTTTGAGATCTTATTTTCTGAATTTTAATCATATCAACAATCTTTCAAGCAAAGTTTCACATTTGTGGATAGAGACATTGAGGACCAATGTCTCTTACCAAGATGCATTCATATTCACATGGATGATCAGTGGGGGGTGGATGGGTCTTGACCAAGGTCTGCCCAGCATCAGAGTTACACCTCTTTTCTTCCATCATTTTCAGAAACGTGTTCTTTTAAGGGATGTTTCTAAATTTCATGAAACGTACTCTATGACTCCTGGCTATCATGGACTTTTACTTTCTGATTCTTGGGCTCAGAATTCTTCCTAGTTTCTTCTTTTATTTTGGACCTTTCTTATAAAGCTGAAGTTTCCAGTGGCCTAGTACTCAGAGATGTTTTACAGCAGATGCCAGTGAGTGGCACACAACCTTGTGTCTGGAAGCCATTGGTTGGGGAGGGGGCTAGGGGTGCCCTTTGAAAGCCAAATATGAATTGATTTGCAGATTAGTGTCTGAGTCCAGAGCAGCATGAAGGGGCAGATACTTGGACGAATGGCTCCCTTCAGCATGGGGCAACCACCTATGATTATGCCAGCGACCATGACTTTGACTAAAAATCAATAAAGACTAGCTCCTTCCTGCTTTTCCAGATTGAAAGGCAATGCTCTCTACTGAGAGGAACAGCTGTGGATCTGTTCCTAGCATCTCTTTAGGGGTTTAAGAGAAAAGGAAAATTAATTACTAAGCTCCCTGCACAATGAGTAGAAAAAGGAAAGAGAAAATGACTTAATGAGATTGGGGTTACAATACCACCACTTTTATGATCAAAAATATAAACAAACATTCCTTAACTGGTCCCAGCTTGACTCCTAGCACTGAAACCCATTCTCAGTGGAAACTCCTTCCTCAGCCCCTAGGGGTCTAACGGTGACAAATAACTCTGAGACTTGGGAGCAAATACACTTTGGACAGGGAAAGCAAACAGACTTACACAGAACTCGAAGTGCTCGAGGGTTCAGATTTCCACTCCTATTTCTAGAGTAAGATTTTACTCTTAATGATTATGCCTGGCTTCAGACCAAACTAAAGAATTCAGAGAGTGCCTTAGCTCTGGCCAGCACTATCTTTGCGGGATTCTTAATCCCTTCTTTCATCTTCACTTCCTGTGCCTTTTCCCAATGTCATCTTTTCAGATAATTTGGTCCCAGAGTTTGGTTTCCACTTCTAAAAGGCTGTTTTCTTCCTGACTCCCTCTTGACAATCCTTGCCAGCAGGTGGTCTTTTGACCCTTGATTGACCATTGAACAAGTTTTCTTATCGGGAGCTGTGAGATGGGGGTCTGTGACATCACCAAGCAAATGGATGACTTTCCAAAGAAATGCTTTGTCTAAGAACACAGAGGGATGAGCAGTTCTCAGAACGCCAGGGTCTATGACATCATGGATTTGTTAAATCCCTCATTCATCCACGCCTTCAATTTCCCAACAAGTAGGTTTAATGCCTCTGTTTGTCAGGGCTTAGAGATAAAGACAGACTTTGCCATTCTGTTTGGAATATGTCTCTCTTTGTTGAGCTCAGTCTTATTCACCCTTTACATTTTTAGCCCTGTTATCACCTCCTCAAGGATATTTCCCATCCTATGATTTTATCACATACAATCCTTTTCTTTTCCTTAATAGCACTTAACACGGTGCTTTCATCTTTCGATGTAATCATCTGGTTGTTGCTGTTCTCCACGAGACTGTAAGCTACAGGTTCATTTTTCTCATCATTGACTATTCAATATCTAATGAGCTCTCAAAAATAATTGTTTAATGGATGTAGAGAGAAAATTCAGAAGATGATTACAATATTTAGTGTAATAGAATAAACCCTGATATTCACCTAAGGAAGATCAGGTTATGAAGTGGATAGGATAAAGGAAAAGCTTCTGGAAATGACATGAGCTGAGTCCTTGTGAGGAGGTAGCTCAACAAAGTAAATAAAGGTGGTCACAGCAGTTTAGGTTGAGGCAATGTCTTTAGCCAAACCTTGGAAGCAGGAGAGAACATGGTGACATTTTTAAGCAATGGCAAAAAGCTCAGTGAGTTTGAGGTACAGGATGAGAGTTGGGGGTGAAGAATTGACAGTTCAGACTAGACATGTAGACTGAAGGCATGCCACCCTAAAACCTTCTAGTCTTTTTAAAAAAGATTTATTTATTTATGCATATAAGAGCTGGGGTGTAGGCCAGAGGTTGGGGGGTGAGAGGATTCACTAGAGACAGAGTGGGGAGCAGAACAGGTGGATCCACTGAAATCCACTGCTGAGGGGAGCAGCAGGTGAGACAGGAGAGGTCTGCTGCTACCTGGGTTACCTCCTTGGCTGGGGATTGAACTCATGCTGCAGTGGCTGCGGATAGCTTCCCAGTGCTGAGACTTAACCCCTTGCTCCACCAGGGAGGCCCCCCAAACATTCTAGTCTTATCCTGTAGGTGATGGGGAACTACTGATGGTATGATGGATGAGACAGAAGTCACTCCCCTCAGGTGTGTGCATAGACGCTAACTTGCATCCCAGACAACTGGAGGAAGGTCAGGAAGTTCCCAGAACTGCTAGTCTGGCCCCAAATTGCCAGGTGATGAGAGAGTCCCAGGAAAATGCAGCTGTTCCTTAGCTCTCGGGAGGGGTGGAGGAGGAAATCTGGGTGGGATTAATAAAGGGAAAAACTTAACTTCTGTTTCAAAAGCCAGGATTTAAGAAATCTGTTTTTCCTTTTCTGGCAAAAATGTGTTTGAGATTTTGGATGGCATGTTAGAGGCAGGAGCCCAGGAAGGCAAACATCGGAACTGCCGCTTCAGAGGAAGGTCAGTGATTGCACTTGGTTTCTTGTAATGGTCAGTGGGAACCGTCACTTCTGAATCTTACCACAGTGCCTGGTGTTTTAGGAAAATGTGTGCAAAAGAAATTCTAAGAAATTGATGCACGAGAAAAAGAAACCCGTTCTTATTTCACTGTGGAAATAATTTATTACTCAATCATCATGATTTAATTAGGACTCCCGGGCCTCCCCGGTGGCGCAGCGGTTGAGCGCTGGGTTGCGAAGCTGCCGGCGACCTCTGCGGCGCCGGTTCGATCCCCGGCTGCTCCCCGGCCACCAGAGGAGGGTCCCACATGGCGCGCAGACCTCTCCTGCCGCCCGCTGCTCCCCTCAGCAGTGTACTTTGGTTCTTCTGCCTGCTCTGCTCCCTGCTCTGGCTCTGGTGAATTCTCTCACCCTCCTGCGCTTCTGACTGTACCCAGTGCATGTATAAGAAACAAACAAATAAAAATAAATAAAAAACATGCCTCTATTAAAAAAAAAAAAAAAAATTAGGACTCCCTTGAAGTCTCTCCTTCTGTGGTGTCTGAACACTTGTTTTTCATTCTTTTAAAGAATTCTTATACTTTCACATACTGACTTTTAATTTTACCACGTGTCAAGCTGTCTCTTTCCTCCTCACTCAAGATTTCCTCAAGTCCTCTCTCTTCTGCACCCATAACCCTCGCCAGCCTCTCCAGTGTCTCCAAAGCTCCTGTCTCACTTCTTTGGAAGGGGATCTGAACCCGGGAAAATCCCGGTTCCAAACTCCTTTAATTCTTAACACACCCAAATGTCTCATCAGCCTCAGCTAAAGGCTTGGCAGCCTCTCTCAGGACAAATGTGCTTCCTGTGTTGGAACAGGATGTCAGCCCACGGTGGACAATACCGGCCCGTTCCAGGGGAAGTTGTGAAGTGAGCAGCCATCTTAATTTGTCCCCAGATTTTTCTCCCCTAACCATTTCTTATCAATCACATGCCCTTACCCTGGAAAGAGCCTGCATTTAAGAGAAGACTTGGGGGGCTTCGCTGGTGGTGCAGGGATTAATCAAGCTATCACCAGCTACTGCAGCACAAGTTTGATTCCCCAGCTGGCCAGGGAGCTGACCCCCATGGCGCAGCTGCCTCGCCCACTGCTCCCCTCAGCAGTGGATTTCAGTAGATCTGCCTGTTCTGCTCCCCACCCTGTCTCTGGTGAATCCTCTCACCCCTGCACCTCTGGCTTACCCCCCAGTTCTTTTTTTTTTTTTTTTTTTATTTATTTATTTGTTTGTTTTGTTTATACATGCACTGGGTACAGTCCGAAGCGCAGGAGGGTGAGAGAATTCACCAGAGCCGGAGCGGGGAGCAGAGCAGGCAGGAGGACCGAAGGACACTGCTGAGGGGAGCAGCGGGCGGCAGGAGAGATCTGCGCGCCATGTGGGACCCTCCTCTGGTGGCCGGGGAGCAGCCGGGGATCGAACTGGTGCTGCAGAGGCTGCGGGCAGCTTCGCAACCCAGTGCTCAACCGCTGCGCCACCAGGGAGGCCCACCCCCCAGTTCTTGTATGCATAAGTTAATATTTAAAAAAATAAAATAAAATAACATGGGTTCAACTCCAAATCATAGGACAAACTGCATGGAGATTGGCTGAGTCCATTTGTGGACCTTTTCCATTTGTGGAAGCCGAATCCTCACACCTACCAGCCATGTAAGTCATAGAGTCCAGTTTTACGGTACATTTACAGGTGCTTTGCAAACGACAGGGATATGATAAATAATGACGCCCAAAGCCTAAAATGTGTTGGGATGCTTCCTCAACCTTCTCCTAATTCTTCTAAGTCACTACGGAGGCAGCCTGGACAAAATCTCTCTCGGTCCTGCGTGTTTATCCCTCTCCATGTGGTTCCCTATATTATTCCCTTAGGTTCATGTTTTCTCCCTTCAGTATCCACCAAAATATTCAGACACATTTATGTGTATTAATGAAGTAGTAGAGGACTGTGATATGCTGTGTGGTGTGCTGGTGTGTATGATGATGAACTTATAAATATTAATGAGCTGGTAAGAGAATGCATGCTGTGTGGCATGGCGTGTGAAATTCATACATAACACAGACCCACCTTTCTCCTCTTTCTCTTTCTAGTTCTGTGGTTTAGACCAGCATTTCCAAAGGCCTTAGGTAGAGAGATCAAAGTGTGGGAAACTGGGTTAAACAAAGTTAAATAAATTACTTTACGGTGGGATTAATGTGCACTGGGAATTTTTAAGAAAGGAATTTATGGATTTTTTTTTTTTCAATTTTCTTTGGCTATACAATACTTTATTTCAAAATGAAGCATCTGGTTGTGGAATATTTCATTGCATACACCAAGGGAAAAACTGCCCTTAGCAAAATCTGAAAAATGGGATAATGATATTCGGCCTCAGGGTATTTACAGGGTTTAAATGAAGTAATAGATGCAAGCGTAGAGCAAGGGGTCTGAGCACCGCAGGCTTAAGCAGCAATGTCTCAGCAGCTCTCATCCTCCAGATGTTTCGTGGTAATGTCCAGCAACATCATGTTATCTACCAATGGAAAATACAATCTCTGATGTACTCCAGCCAGAAAGTGACTCCCCCTGCTTCCCTGCAAAAAGCATAGGAACCCTTCTTATCAGGCCTCCCAATCAGACAGTGGGTGACAAAAAAAAAATACAGACAGGATTTCAATGCAAAGAGAGCAGGCTGTCGATGACTGGAGAGTCTTTGTGATCGTATTAAGATTCTTGAGTAAGAGTGGAGGTTGGAGGGCAAAAGCAGCATGGAACCTTTACAAAGGACACAGATGCACTGCATGCCAGACTTTAGGCATGCGGGTAAGGTGGATGCTTCATTCTCATTAAGGTGTGGGATCTGTCACCCTCAATCCTCATCAATGCCTTTTGTCTGTGTCATAAATCTCAGGGGCCCTCAGGCATGCTCACAAGTGGATGGCTGGCGTGGGTGGACTCCACTACCTATTTGAGTCAGGTTCTAGCATCTGCAGGTGAGTGGGCAGATGAACAGGTGTGAAGTGCCCTTTCCAGAATGCTGTCTAAAGTCAGTAGCATGAGTCACACAGTGATCAGCTAGCTGGTTTGGTCTAGATGTTCAGCCTATCATCCCATTCACTTTGTGAGTTTGTTGCACATTCACTGATTCTGCACGATCCCCAAGCAACATTTTTCTGATAGTCACTGTGTGGAGTGCTGGAAACTCAGAGAATGACAGACAAGGTTCTGACCCTCATGACCTATGATACCATGATAGAAGATGTTTGTTTACTTAATCCAGAAGGCAGGAGGTAAGAAAAATCCTCCACCCCAGTCAGGTGGCTTCTGTCCACAGTGTCGTAGACTTTTAAAGGTATAATAACATTCATCTCCTGGTGCAAAGAGGTGACCTTAACTTAGGATTTGCAGGCAGCCCTCTGCCGGTGTCAGGCAGCCCCATGTCAGACCTCCAAGGAAGGTGTCTGGAAAGGCAGGTCCTTCTGCAGGCCTCACTCTTTGCAGGCAAGTGCCCATTT